TCTCACCATGACTCAAACTATATAAAATAAAAAAATAAAAAAAAAGTGATTAAAAAAAAAAAAAAAAAAAAAAAAAAAAAAAAACTAATTTAAAAATTTATTTAAATTAGAAAGAAAAAAATATCATTTTTTAAGTTATATTTAAAGAATAGTTTTTCGATAATGAATGAATTAATATATGAAAGTCACAATATTTTATAAATATCTAATATATATATAATAAAGATATATCATGCTAATCTAATTGTGAATTAAAAAAAAAATTACAAATAACTTTAATAAAACTATAAAAATAAAAATCAAGAAAATATATTGTAATTACTGTAATAGTAGATATTAGAAAAAATTTTTAAAAAAATAAATAATTGGATATTCAAGTTGATTTAACAAATCTTTATAGTTAATTAAGATATATTAAACTTTTATATATTTATATACTATAAATTTAATAAAAGTATCTTAATTAGAAAAAATTAAAAAAAGTATTATATTATAAAAAAATAATACAAAATATAAAAAAGTAATAAAATAAGAATAAACTCAAGAAAACTCTAGAAATAATAAAATCAAAAAAATCAAACAATATTTATAACTAATGAGAAAACAAAAAACTTGAAAATATAAAGAATTTGACAAATGGGATTTTGACTCTTAACAGTAATATGTAATAGTGATCTGCAAGAATTATTATCTTCAAAATTACACTTGGTGAATTAGAAAATTAGCTTTAGTGATATATGCGCAATTTACAAAAAAGTTTAATAAAGCATATATAAAAAAATATATAATTTTGTTGATCTGATTTCAATAGAAAATCTATTTGAAAAACAACTTTCTTTATTTTTGTCTTCCCGTTCTAACTTAAAATCATTCAACGATTTATAAGAATATTATATAAAAAAAAAAGAAAAGTAGTAAACGTATCAGAAGAAAATATTTTTTAAGAGTGTTTCTCTTCATTCCATTATTTGAAGATCGATTTGATAAAGAAAGACAATTGTTGATTTACGGACACATGCAAAATTTCTATTTTTGATTATATTAATAATTAATTTGTTGATCTACATGTAATACACGCAAGAAAAAGTTTTCTGTCTTCGGTATCAATCATATGATAACAGCCATTAATCTAAATAAAATATCATATTAATAAGTCCGCAACTGTTGCCATGACGTTCATAATCAATTGTTCACCGAATATATTTCCGTTTGACAATTGAATTGACAGAAACTAAAGTATTATTTGAACTATGGGAATGATATCTCATTAAATTATTGATTAAGGGAAGGCAGTGAAGTGTAGGAAATCTTTCTTTTTTTTATTTCGTCTAAGTAATTGATGATTGGTGAGAACTATGAGGGATTGAATTTTTTGGTTGGTTTTTTTTTTTTTTTTTTTGTTGGTTAACAACAAGAAAACAAAAATGGAGTTTAAAGGAAAGGAAAACAAATTGAAAATTTGTCGCAGCTTTTTGACCAACCCCGGAGTTAGACACTAAAATACTTTTGGGTGATTAAATGTTCATTTCCGATGTTGACATATTTTGGGTGCGACCTAGCCTTTAATTGTTTCTCCTTGGCCCATTAGTCGATCCAAAACATTTTCAAATCCTTGCCTCCCTTTTACCGCATTATCACCAAATCTTTGAACAAAAAAGTCTTCGACAAAGTTGGCAAACCGGGAGATTGATTCGCCACATTTAACGCTCGCTTCTTGTTTGAACAAAGTTCTGTGTAAAATGATGACAATTGATGTCAACGGTCTTTCAATAATATAAAATTAAGATCGCATATAAATTTAAGACTTACTTGGATGGGTCCGAAGGGTCTTCGGTATAAACGACAGTTTCCGATACATTAACCAGATGATTTACGGACAGGTTACAGCTGGTCATTTTTAGCACCTTATTTTTGGGGTCGATTTCGCTTATTTCTCGGGCATAGGTCACAGTGTTGCTGCCGAATAATTTGCTCAACAACTTGGGTATATTTTGCTGACACGTTATTAATCTTTCCGTTCGAAGTATTCCAGTTTCCGGGTCAACATGTCTATCCAGGACATCAATAGCAATGACGTGCGGGCATTTGTCGTTTGGATACTTCAGCCAGCTTGCAGCTGAGACATGGGACCAAGAATAAGAGAAGGTATGTGAAGCTTCAAAGAATTTCATGTTTAATGAAAGAGTTCAAACTGATTAAACTTCTACTGATCTTGATCTTTTAATTGGTTTACCAATCATATGAATCGGTAAGATGATTTTCGTCGGTCGGTGTTGATAATCTTTGTTCAATTTATATTTCATAAGCGAAATAGGATTAACCAATAGAAAGTTGTACTCCCGGTATTACAAAATGCATTTTCACGAGAAGCAATACAACTGGCACAAGTCGAAAAGTTGTCATCTATGACGAACGATTTTATCAACTGTGATATCATTATTTATTTGTTTTCCCAAGAAAGATTCGTGGCATGTAGACACGACTGCGGTTAAAGAAGTTTATTGAGATTTAAAAAGCTAGTTCGTTCTTAAAAGGACTAGTTAATCTTTTTTTTTTTAATTCACAGGCGAGTCAAACATTATATCTGTGTGTTAATTTTTATAACGAATTAATTATAATATTATACTAAATATTTAAAACTAGAGTTCCGAAGGAATTGATCCGATAAACTCGCATGAAATTTAAAAAATCCAAAGAATCATATTCAATTAACGTTCTATTTAATGTAGATTAGATCAGCGCAGCGTTAAAGAGCCAAAAGTATATTGTATGTAACACGAAATTTCTTTAAAACCAGTAAAAGGTGTGATACGGTAACTATGCATTATATGTCACGCACCGCGACATTTTGAGCTCGTTATAAAAAAACGCATCTCTGGAATATGGTCGGCATCATTGAAAAATGTTGCGATACTATATCGTTCGTACTTTTACTTTGGAATTCATAAAATTCAAATGTTTCACTATGCCTTTCAGGATTGTTGATTCTCGATTTCCTAGCAAACTGTTGCAAACCAAAACTCTTGGCATTTCCCGTTCATCAAGGGAAATTGGTTTTTTGACCGCAATTGAAAGAATTCGAGGATTCTCGACAAATCACAAAGGTCCAAAACGTTGCTGGAAATGTAAATCAGAGATCGATTATCTTTCCCTTCATTGTACTGACAAAGAATGTGGTGTTATTCAAAAATCTTTACCAATTGATGTCACTTATTTCGAAATATTGAGAATGCACGAAGATAACTACGATCCGTATGTCAAGACTTTTAATTCTGCACTTTTGAAGCTTTTTTTTTTTTATTTCATTTTTATTTTTTATAGTACACCATTTGATATCGATCCTGCCGGTTTGCGGCGCAGTTTCTTACGGCTTCAACAACTTGTGCATCCTGATAACTACGGAATAAAGGATCAAGTAAGTAGTGGTAGATGCTGAGAATTCATAAACAGATCTTCAAACTTCATTGAAATTTGTCAATTCGCGCTTTATAGTCACGTTACCTGATAAAAAACATTCTTTAGCAAGAATACACGTATGCACAGCAACAATCTTCTTTGATTAACAAAGCCTATCAAGTATTAAAGGATCCACTTTTAAGGGCACAATACATGGTACCGCCACTTTATCCACTTTAGAAAATCAACATCGAACATACTTACTAATTTTCTTATGTTTTAATTTTCAAATCAATCAAAGCTTCAGTTAAATGGTGTCCCAATAAAAGAATCAGAATCTATGGAGGATTCAGAATTATTGATGGAAATTTTGGATACACGTGAACGACTTGAAGATGCAACTAGTGATGACGAGGCAAAAATAATCCGGAATCAAAGTGAAGGTATCGAGAATTTCATCTCTTGTTTATTTTCTTGAAGAAATCCATGCCTAATCAGTCCTTCCATGCTACCTAGCTAAGATAGAAGAAATTATAAAAAATTTATCGAATGCATTCAAATCCAATGATTTGTCCGAGGCGAAAGAACTAACGGTGAAACTTCAGTATTGGTATAATATTCGCAAGGCAGCCATTGAATGGCTTCCGGGAAAAAGGGTTGATATTCAACACTGAATTCGAAGTTCATATCTTCAACTTGTTATTACACGCCTCTAAAAATTTCAATCGCAGAATTGACCTTTCTTGATGGCAGCCAATGATCAAATTAAATAATCATCTAATTTAATTTTTCTTGTGATTTTCATTTGAGTTCCCTTTAGTTTTGACTTTCTCGATTTCACTGACTATTATACTATTCACATCTCCAATTTTCTGACCATTTTCGACATTCTCGCCTTTGATTTTTTCCTTTAACTCTTTCCTCTTCTTCTGACTCATCTTTTTCGGCTTTTTGTAAGGTTCCGGAAGTTCATTGGGAAATGTTTGACCATAAATTTTAATTATATTCGCGTCATACGGATGATTTTCATCCGGAAAAATTTTTAGTCTTTCTAATCTAACTTCTCTCAATCGATTTTTTGGTAGCATTCCAGAAACTGCCTTTCTAATAATCTAAGTAATGATAATTTTGAAACGTTAATTAAAGTGTGTCTTTCACTTAGGATAAACATATGCCTACATACCTCAGCAGGATCCTTTTCCATTAACCGTTTATAGTTGATAGTTTTTAACCCCCCGGGGTATCCTGTGTGGTGACGGTAAAGTTTTTGATCCTCTTTTTTACCTGTTACAACCACTTCCCTTGCATTAATGACCACCACATAGTCACCACAATCAGCTTTTATCCGAAGATGCGAACATTAATAGATGGTTCGAACATTAGTGTCACAGGTATCGTAACATTTTGATGCTTACATGCAGGATCATAAATAGGTTTGTGCTTTCCCATCAAAGTTGTCGCAATATTGACTGCCATGCGACCCAATATACGTTGTCGAGCGTCTACCAGGTGCCAAACTCGCGCATAAGCTAAACCTGTCTGTTTTTATCGAAGGTGTTAATGGCGAATGAGCAAGAAAACAACGGAATAAGCTGGTTAAAGGACATACATTGCCAAGTGCCTGGGACATGATCAAGAGATCAGTTCTGGATAAAAAAACCAATGCGTTTCGATTTTAACCCCGAAATGGCATAAATACATATTTAATTTTAAATATTTAAAAATCAAACTTTTAATTAATAATATTATTATTATTGTTTTACTGTAGTTCAAAAAAATTTTATATTATATTTTAAACTAATATTTATAAATTTGATTTTATAAAATAATAATTTAATAGATAAATTAATATACAGTATGTAACAAAACTTTTTGGAATTTTTTAAAAAGCATATTTTTGTTTATAAATTAATAAAAAATTATTCAAATTATTTAAAACTTTATAATATATTTTTAAAGCATAAATATAAAAAAATGTAAAA